ATCACTGACTCGATGGACATGGGTTTGGGTGGACTCCGGGAGTTGGTGATGGACAGGGAGGCCTGGCGTGCTGCTGTTCATGAGGTCATAGAGTCGGACACGACTGAATGACTGAACTGAACTGAATGGGTTTACGGGGTGACTCCTTTCCTGGTCTTGCCTAGAATCAGTTGAGTTGCTGCACTGGGATGACAGTTGGACTGGCTGGAAGAGCCAAGAGGATTTTTCTTGCTGGAGGCCATGGGGACCACATTCTCCTCCACGTGGCCTCTCGTTCTCACCCAGCAAAGTCAGGCTCTCTAACCAGGAGACCTGCAGCACGCCAGGAGCACGTGGGTGGAAGCCGCAAAACACACTGGCCCCCCGGACTCTGATTTCACGTGGTGGCGCTTCTGCACACTCACTGGTCAAAGCAAGTCTCGCGGGTGTTCTAGATTCTGACTGAGAGGAAACTGATTCCATGTGAGGGGAGGAGTCACAAAGTCACAGTGCAGGGCTTTGTGTAGGAAAGGGGTAAGATTTGGTCCAGATGTTTCAGTCTTGCACAGTAACTAAGAGGATTGGCGGTGTTGCAGGAGGAACATGGTTTTGGATTAGGGCACAGACGCACTTTGGCTAAATCCTGGGTGAACTACCTCTCCTGTCTGAACTTGTGATTCCTTCCTGTGAAGTAGAAGCCATCCAGTTTTTTTTAAAATTTATTTATTCACTTGTTTTTGGCCATGCTGGGTCTTCTTTGCTGTGCATGCTTTCTCTAGCTGTGGCAGTGGGGGTTACTCTCTCCTTGTGGAGCACGGACACAGTAGTTGTGCAGCATGTGGGATCTTCCCAGACCAGGACTTGAACTCGTGTCTCCTGGGTTGGCAGGTGGATTCCTGACCGCTTGAGCCATCACAGAAGACCCAGCAATCCAGTTTTATCATCACCCTGATTATCCTCCTTTTAGTTATCGCCAAGAATGCTTTCAAATTGTGGTGCTAAAGAAGACTCTTGCAGGGTCCCTTGGGCTGCGAGAAGATCAAACCAGTCAGTGCTACAGGAAATCAACCCTGAATATTTATTGAAAGGACTGATGCTGAAGCCGAAACTCTGATACTCTGGCCGCCTGATACAAAGAGCTGACTCCTTGAAAAAGACTTTGATGCTGGGAAAGATTGAAGGCAAAAGGAGAAGGGCGCAGCAGAGGCTGAGATGGTTACGTAGTATCACTGACTCAACGGACATGAATTTGAGCAAACTTTACAGAATAAGGTGGAACAGAGAAGTCTGGTGTGCTGCAATCCATGGGGTCTTAAAGAGTTGGGTGCGACTTAGCCACTACACAACAAAAATAAGAAAACAGGTTAAAATCAACACTTCTAAGACCTTTTCTCTCCCTGACCATGGGTAATCCATTTAACTAGAATTTTCAGTTGATCTTGGATGGCCAGTCATAGAAAGATTATAATAACAATATCAACAGCAAAAATAAAAGCAACTACCTCTTATGGAACACTGCCAGGCTAAAGGTGTTGCTCTGCAGGTCTCTTGAAACAGTCAGGGAGTCTTTGGGTCACCCCAGAAGCAGAGTCTAAGGATTAGAGGACTTGTAGTTTACCTGGGAAGTGGTTCTAGAAGCCCTGGAGCAAAGTGAGGATAGGAAAGGGAAGGGAAAATGGTAGTATAGGATGTGCTCAGGTGCAGGTACTGCTGTGGGCACCTGGGGCTGCATCTCACCGGGGACCTTCGGGAGTTGGTGCAGAACACATGACTCCAAGTTACACTAATGAGTGTCTTCCTTTAAAAGAAACTTCACTTGTCTTTTCATTTTATTTGATCATGTAATTCTCATTCCTGCCTGAGACAAGGTGAGAGAATAGGAATCAAATAACAATTTTAAACACAAGGTGGATAAGGTTTGTTATTTCTAAGGGTTGTTGAGAGGATGTGAGAAGGTGGAGTCTGTAAATGCATCTATGCTGCTAAGTCACTTCAGTCGTGTCCGACTCTGTGCGACCCCATAGACGGCAGCCCACCAGGCTCCCCCGTCCCTGGGATTCTCCAGGCAAGAACACTGGAGTGGGTTGCCATTTCCTTCTCCAATGCATGAAAGTGAAAAGTGAAAGTGAAGTCGCTCAGTTGTGTCCGACTCTTCGCGACCCCATGGACAGCAGCCTACCAGGCTCCTCCATCCATGGGATTTTCCAGGGAAGGGTACTGGAGCGGGGTGCCATTGCCTTCTCCAAAATGTATCTGTAAGGGGGGCTAAAATGCAGGAAGTGCTCCTTACCAAAAAAAATTTTTTTTCCTTTTCAGCGAGGCCCACCCAGGTCACCTGACTTGTCGGTCACTGCTCCCGCCTGGCATTCCAGGGCTCCTTGTCCAACTTGATTGGTCTTCCTTTTCTTTTGTAACACTTGTGACTTTTTTGTTTGTTTTATATTTTATTTTTATAGTGGAGTACAGTTGATTCACAATGTTGTGTTAGTTTCAGTCTTACAGAAAAGTGATTCAGTTATACATGTACATAAATCTATTCTTTCACAAATTCTTTCTCTGGTTATGTTGTTACAGAGTTCCCTGGGGTGTACAGTAGGTCTTCTTGGTTAACCATTTTATTTTTTTTTTTCCATTTATTTTTATTAGTTGGAGGCTAATTACTTTACATCATTACAGTAGTTTTTGTCATACATTGAAATGAATTAGCCATGGATTTACATGTATTCCCCATCCCGGTCCCCCCTCCCACCTCCCTCTCCACCCGATCCCTCTGGGTCTTCCCAGTGCACCAGGCCCGAGCACTTGTCTCATGCATCCAACCTGGACTGGAGATCTGTTTCACACTTGGTAATATACATGTGTCGATGCTGTTCTCTCAGGTCATCCAACCCTCGCCTTCTTTTTTTTTTTTTTTTTTCCATTTATTTTTATTAGTTGGAGGCTAATTACTTTACATCATTGCAGTGGTTTTTGTCATACATTGAAATGAATTAGCCATGGATTTACATGTATTCCCCATCCCGGTCCCCCCTCCCACCTCCCTCTCCATCCGATCCCTCTGGGTCTTCCCAGTGCACCATAAATACAGCAGTGTGTAAATAATTGCAAATTCCCTAACTATCCCTTCCCCCACCCTTCCGTTCTGCTAACCATAAGCTAGTTCTTTAAGACTATGAAGCCTGTTCCTGTTTTGTAAATAAGTTCAGTGTGCTTGTGACTTTTAAAAAAGTGTTTTAAAATTAGTTCATTTATTCATTTTTGGCTGCTCTGGGTCTTTGTTGCTGCATGGGCTTTTCCCTAGTTGAAGCGAGTGGGGGCAACTCTCCAGTTGCTGTGCGCAGGCCTCTCATTGCAGTGGCTTCTCTCGTTGATGAACGAGTACCAGCTCTAGGGTGCAGCATTCGGGCTCGGTAGTTGAGGCACATGGGTTTTGTTACTCCTTGGCGTGTGGAATCTTCCTGAACTAGGGATCAAACCCAGGTCTCCTGCATTGGCTGGTGGATTCCCATCCACTGTACCACCAGGGAAGTCCTACTTGTGACTTTGAAAAACAATGTTAGAGTCCTTACCCTCAGCATATGAACACTGGGGGCCAATCAGTCTCTGCTGTGGGGGCTTGTCCTGTGCGTTGTAGGATGTTGAGCCCCGTCTTTGGCCTCTATTCACTAGATGCCAGGAGCACCCCCACCAACTGTGACAACCACAAATGTCTCCTGACATTGGTCCATGTCAGTGGGGGAGATTAACTGCTTGGAGTTTAGAGCCGCTATGCTATTCAGCTATCTTTTGATTCTGTTCACTGTTGGCTGTTCCCACATCTTGGAAGTGAAAAGTGAAAGTTGCTCAGTTGTGTCCAACTCTTTGAGACACCATGGACTGTCCATGGCATTCTCCAGATCATAATACTGGAGTGGGTAGCCTTTCCCTTCTCCAGGGGATCTTCCCAACACAGAGGTCGAACCCAGGTCTCTCCCATTGCAGGCAGATTCTTTACCAGCTGAACCACAAGGGCAGCCCAAGAACACTTGAGTGGGTAGCCTGTCCCTTTTCCATAGTATCTTCCTGACCCAGGAATTGAACCCAGGTCTCCCGAACTGCAGGTGGATTCTTTACCAACTGAGCTATCAGGGAAGCTCCTACTGGAATGTAAACTCCAAGGGAAAAGGAGTTTGCTTCTTTGGGGGCCTTGACGTAGCTTCAGTTCCTTGGCCTGTGGTAGGCGTCCAGCATTAGTTGAAAGAATGAGTGACATTTGGAGGGTTTTGTGCCTGGGGATGGTGTCAAGGCTTGCCACATATTACTTCATTTGTTCATCACAGCATTCCTTGGAGGTAGGCCTTGACATTGTCCCCCTTTACACAGAGGAGGAAAACAGAGGCTTCTAGAAGTTCCATATGGATACCCTATACATACACACCCAATTGTAGAGTCCAGAAGCTTAGCTGACTTCCCCTCAACAATCGGCAATGTTCTCCCTTCTGGCGGAAGAGGACTGAATGACGCTCAGGTCAGTTGCAACTTCTAGCTGGCACCTGCAGCAGGGCTGAAAAGGGATGAGCAGCTGGCACGGGGTGGGGTGGGGGGTGTGGGTAGAGTGGCAGTTGGGGGGGACCTGAAGAGGCTTTCTCAGGGACCAGAAGGGAGTGGCCTTGAACTTGACTGGGTTCACCCTGTCTCTCTCTGAAGGAAGACTGCTGCCAGACCTAAAGAGGTGCAGACTGGGCTGGAAAGCGAAGCCCCAGCAGGCTCTGGGAAGTGTCGCTGGAGTGTGTACTTGGTGATGGGCCACCCGGGATAAGCAGCCTGGAGATGCTGCTGCTGCAACCAGGCCCAGGAGGCCGGATCTGCACACACACAAACACACACGCATGCACACACTTCACTCCCCACCCCTCCCTTACTCCAGCCCAGCCCAGCCCAGCCCAGAAAGGGTCCATCTCTGTGATTGGTCCGTGGTTCTCAGTACCAGGAATTGAGATCAGGAAGATGGGAAGGAAGGAAGAGGGTGGGTAGGATGGGGGAGGGATGGGACTACTTTTGTATCTACTCCCAGAGCTAGGCGCCTGCTCACCATGGACACTGCAGGGTACCGAAAGTGGGACAGCAGGCAGGAAGAGATCCCCGGAGGTATGAGCAACCGGGCTGCCTCAGAGGTCCCCTTGGGTCCCTCTCTGGCCAGTGGTTTGGGGTTTGATGGGGAAGGGAGGGGCTTTCCAGGTGGCAGTAGTGGTAAAGAATCCCCTTGCCAATGTAGGAGACGTAAGAGATGCAGGTTCATTCCATCCCTAGGTTGGGAAGGTCCCCTGGAGGAGGGCATGGCAACTCACTCCAGTATTCTTGTCTGGAGAATCCCATGGACAGAGGAGCCTGGCGGGATACCATCCATAGGGTTGCAAAGAGTCAGACAAGAGTGAAGCGATTTGGCACGCACGCCCGCACGCACGGGGGAAGGGAGAGGATCAGCCAAGAGAGAGCTTATGTAGTGGGTGCAGGAAAGACACCACAGATCCTAGAGTCAGCTGGACCTGATTTCAAATTCCAACTCTGCCTCTTAGGGACTGTGTGACCACAGGCAAGTTACTGCAGCTCTCTGAATCTTAGTTACCTGGGAGAAACCCAAGTGACTGGGGCTGTCCTCGGAGCCCAAGGATCCAGGGAGGAGCTCAGGAGTCTGTTTGTGTTATCCCAGGGCTCTCCGGACGCTGGGGACAGAGACCCCTCTTCCTGGTCTTGGCTTTCATAGTCATCACAGTCCTGTGGACCCTCATTCTCAGCGTCCTGTTTTCCAAGGGTGAGTGACTGGATGATGGGAGATGGCGTGTGCACCGCCAGCCCCCAGGGAACATAGACGTTTTCTGCGCCCCGGGGCACACCAACCAGATCCGGGACCTCTGCCTGGGTCTGAGTGCGAGCGCCCACGTGCGCGAACCTGTGCATGTGCCCGCCCTATGTCGGTGTGTGTGCGCATCACGTGCGCTGCACGTCTGTCCGCCCCCTTCTGTGCACCCCATGACCCGGGTCCCCGCACTCCCAGGGGCCAAGGGGAGAGTTTTCGAGTCCTCCTCTCTCCGCAGCGTCCACCGAACGCAGGGCGCTGCTTGACCACCAAGGCCTGCTGAGCACAAACGGTACGGAGAGAACTGAGGCTCTTGTCAGAGTTCGGGGGCAGAAGGGTCTCGGACCCCGGTGTCGGAGTAGTGGGCGGGAGCGCGGGGATCCCACGGTCCACGGGGCTGGCCCTGGAGTTGGGTGGGGTCCTGGGAGTCCCCGAGGGTGACTTGGCGTGTGTGCGGGCTGGCGTGGAATCCTTCCAGCCTCCAAACAGACGGCGGTGCTGGGTATCTTGAAGGAGGAGGTCCGAGCGTGCAATAGCTGCTGTGAGTAAGACGGTGGTGGTGGGCTGGGGGCCAGGGTCTGGGACTTGTGGCCGGGATTGGAGGAGGCGAGTGGGAGCGGAGCCCGAGGGGCGTAGGGGCTGGGCGGGCTGACCTCAGGTGTCCCGCTCCCGTCACCTCACCCCCTCCCCAGGCCTGGGGACTCAGGCACAGCTGCAGACAGTCAGCAAGGAGCTTGGAGAGGCAAGGTCGAAGTTGTTGCAGCAGGAGAGTGCCCTAAAAGAACTGAGCGAGCGCGGTGAGTGCGGGACCACCCCTGTCCCCTCACCCCGGCTGTTACCCGAAACTTGATTCACTCTGGACCCTTCTGTGAACCCCCCCCCCAACTATCCTGTGATCTTGACCATTGACCCAAATCGTGTCCCCCATCCTGACCCTGACCTGTGAACTCTAACCTTAAATGCAAGTCCTAACCCCAGTCACAACGGGCACCCTACCCAGCTCTAACAGTCCTTGCCAGTGATGTCACTCATGACCTTGGCACTGACCACGGACGTGGATGCTGACCTTAACTAATCATGATCTTACCCTCGATCCTGACGCTAGCTATACTTTTCTCCCTCTCAGTGACCCAGAGCCTGGCTGAAGCCGGTAGGGACCGTGAGAACATTCGCACTGAGCTCTTCCGGGCACTGGAGCAAGCCCGGCTTGGAAACAGTGAGCACGCGGGGAGGGCAGCGAGGGGAGAGGATCAGTGGACCCTGCCCGGGGTTCCCTGATCTGCCTGGCCCCGCCCTTTGACCTTGGCCTGGTCTCGGTGGTTCCAACCCTGGGCCCGGGGTATGTGTGTGTGTGTGTGTGTGTGGGGGGGGGTTGTCCAGAATCCCCCTCTCCAATCCACTCGTCGGCTCCACTTGGGAGCAAACCATCTCTTTGACCCTCGCCACCCTGCAGGCTCCTGCAAGGAGTGCCCCGAGTCGTGGCTGCCGTTCCAGGGCTCCTGTTACTTCTTCTCCACGCTGCGGGCCACGTGGGTGGAGGCACAGCAGCATTGCGAGAGCTCCGGAGCGCACCTGGTGATCGTCGGAGGCCTGGAAGAGCAGGTGCGAAGCTCGGGCTGCCAGCGAGCCGGGAGAGGGCGGGGTTTACCCGAGGGTCGTGGCTCGGGGTTAGGGGGCGGGGCAGGAGGGACGCCGCCCGCTCAGTCTTCCCCACCGCCCAGGGTTTCCTGAGTCGGAATACGCGTGGCCGAGGTTATTGGCTGGGCCTCAGGGCCGTGCGCAAGGTGCGCAGGATCCAGGGCTACCAGTGGGTGGACGGAGTCGCGCTCAGTTTCAGGTGAGAGAAGGGACCTGGGGAGGCTGACCGTTCGGATCCTAGAAGTGCTTCGGCCAGATCATAGGGTCTCCTTAGGGCTGGGCGGGCCAGACCCCAGGAACGGACTAGGGTTAAATTCTGGGCTGAGAAAGTTATATACCAAGGTGTTAATTCTCAGGATGTGAGGGTTAGACCCAAGTAATAAACAGGTTAGAACTCGGAAAAGCCTAGCTTTTCAGCAACACCGCCCCCCCCCCCCCCGGTCAAACCACTGCAGCCACTGGAATCGGGGGGAGCCCAACGACTCTATGGGGCGCGAGGATTGTATCATGATGCTCCGCACGGGGTTGTGGAACGACGCGCCGTGTGACAACGAGAACGACAACTGGATCTGTGAGAAGAGGCTCAGCTGCTGACCTTGCCCCTGGCCCAGAGCCGCGCCCACTGGCACTTGTCCAATCGCCTGAGCCGCTCACCTTCCTGGCTCCGCCCACCACCGTGAATCCCCTCCCCACCCAACTCTAGCAATAACCATGGCGCCACCCACAGCCCAAGCCAGTAACTGCACGGGGAGACGCGCTCCAGTCTCGCTGCAACCCCCCACCCGTAGACCTCACCAAGTCTGCTCCCGCTCCAAAAATCTGAGCTCCTTGGACCCGTGATCTGACCCCCATCGCCCTTCCTAACCAAGGCCCGGCGACTCAGGGATGGAGCTGTTTGATTTATTTGCATTTTTACCCCAGGTGAGCTGCCTCAAAGATAGGGGATTTTGTGAACCTTCTTGGCAGCCCTAGGGAGCATCAATAAATGAGAAAATGAATCTTGGCTCCTGCCTCTGATCTAAGCTTTATCTCAGAGACTCTGATGTAATTCTTGTGAGTGACCCTGACGTCAGGGGCCCACGAGCATGCACGTGTGTCTGACTCTTTCCCACTCCATGAACTGTGGCCCACCAGGTTCCTCTGTCATGGGATTTCCCAGGCAAAAATACTGGAATGGGTTGCCATTTCCTTCTTCAGGGAATCTTCCTGACCCAGGGATCGAAGCTGCATCTCCTGTGTCTCCTGCATTGGCAAGCAGATTCTTTACCACTAGAGTCACTTGGGAAGCCTCCAGGGGCCGATGATTTCTCCCCCCACCCCAAACCCAGTGTGTAAGTTGCATTGGGTCATGGGGGTTGTAGAGCCCTGGGAACACAGGAATGAGTCAGACCCTGTCCCTATGCCCTGGGACAATGTGACCAGTGACTAGATTGAGGAATGCATGGAGGAGTCTCCTGTATCCCCAGAAGAGGGACTCTGCTGAGATGCTGCAGTGCTGGCCCAGTTCCCTGAGGAGACTGTCACCCTGTTGAGATTACAGGTAGCCTGACACAAGGTCCCGACACAGAGATGGGAGAGGGGCAGCTCGGATCTGGTGAGCAGACTCCTTCTGTCTTGGGCACCCCAGGTCCTGTGAGGAGTTCAGGAAATACATCTAGAAAAGATGGACTTTGGAAGAACAATGGGATTTCAACTCTGGCAATGGAGCTGGGAAGGGAGGGCTTTGCAGACAGAGGGTGTTGGCAAGTAGAGGGTGTCGCTGAGCCCATTTTGGGGTGGGGGTGGGGAATGTGAGGAGCACACAGCCTGAATTTATCAACTGGGGACTTTTGATCTGAATTTACCCAGCACTCCCATCCTGGGGACCTGGAGGCTCTCCCAGGTTTTCCAGTGGAGACAGGTCCAACTGTCCAACCGAGGGGAGTGACAGGCTAGCAGCATTTAGTTTGATGCAAAGCTGAGTCCAGAACCAAACTGCCCAGCCCTGAGCGCATCCACTGAACAGGAAGAGGAGGGATCAGCACCGAAACTCCCTGACCAGGCAGAATCTTTCAGTGTCTCTGAATCTTCTAAACTGCAGCCCAGAGCAAGACAGTGACCTTGCCCAGGAGCTGTCTGGACTTCTGGACAGATATCGTACCTAGCAGATTGTTGGTCAGACTGATGGATTTCTGGATAGTCAGCTAGGGAGAGTGCATGAGCTTCCTACTGCTGCTGTAACAAATGTCCACCAGCTTGGTGGCTTGAAACAATATACAGCTATTCTACACCTGTGGAGGTCAAAATTAGTTTCACTGGGATGAAATCAAGGTCACCAGGATCAGGGTCCCTCCAGAAACTCCATATGACCCAGCAATTTCACTTCGGGATAGATATTCAAAGGAATTGAAAGTGGCTTCTTTAAAAAAGTTTTGGCTGGGCTAGGTCTTAGTTGCTGCACACAGGCTTTCTCTACTTACCTCGCATGGGCTGCTTATTGTGGTGGCTTCTCTTGTTGCAGAGAACAGGCTCTAGCGCTCACAGGCTTCAGTAGTCATGGTGCAAGGGCTCAATTGCTCCACAGCATGTAGAATCTTCCCAGACCAGGGATTGAACCCATGTCTCCTGTATTGGCAGGCAGATTCTTAACCACTGAACCACCAGCAAAGTCCTGAAAGCAGGGTCTTGAAAAGATATTTGCATACCCATGTTTATAGCAGCATTATTCACAATGGCCAACCAGTAGAAGCAACCCAAGTGTGCATCAGTGGATGAATGGATAAACCAAACAAGCTCATCCATACGATGGAATATTATTTAGCCTTGAAAAAGGAAGGAAATTCTGACACATACTGTAACAGTATGCTGTGTGAAATAAACCACTCACAAAGGACAAATGCTGCTGCTTAATGGATACAGAGTTTCAGTTTTGCAAGAGAAACAATTCTGAAGATCCCTTGCAGAACAATGTGAATATACTTTTTTTGGCAGCACTGGGAATCTTAGGTCCTCTAACCACAGAGGCCTAACCACTGGCCCAACAGGGAAGTCCCCAGTGTGAATATACTTAACACTCCTGAAGTGTCCACTTAAAAATGGTTAAGGTGGTATGATTACAAGGGAAGAAGAAATGTTTGGATGGAGGTAGCTCTTTTTCATCACAAAATATATTCATTCTACATATAATACATTTCATAAAATTTTGTGAAACACTTCATAATGTTTTTAATAAAAGGCTGAAAAATGCAAAAAAATAGTGGTTAACATGGTGAATTTTATCTTATGTGTATTTTTCCACAATTTCAAATTTTTTATTTTCACTTTATTATTATTATTATTATTATTTTTGCCAAGCTGCCCACCTTCTAGGATCCTAGTTCCCCAATCAGGGATTGAACTCATGCTCCCTGCAATGGAAATGAGGAATCCCAACCACTGGACCGCCAGGGAAGTACCCCAAATTTTTATTTTAAATGCACTTATTTGCAAGTTAACAAGTTTTGAGGACTGTATACAACTGTGTAACCACCATTGTATTGCAGATACAGAACATCTCCATCAGCCCCTAAAATTCCTTCTCATCCCTTCCCAGTCAGTCCTCATCCTCTTCCTTCCCCCAGACCACCATGACCTGCTTTCCATCAGTATTGACTAGATTTGTCTTTCCTCAAATGCCATATAAACTGAGGCATACAGTGTAGAGTGCTGTAATTTGTTTCTTTTTCTTTTTTTAAAAAAAAATTATATATTTTTGGCTTCAATGGGTCTTAGTTGGGCTTGGTGTTGGGACTCTAGTTGCAGCTCATAGGCTCAGATGCCCTGAAGCATGTGGAGTCTTAATTCCCTGACCAGGGATTGAACCCACATCCCCTGCATTGCATGCTAGATTCTTAACCACTGGACCACCAGGGAAATCCTTGAAGTTTGTTTCTTTTCATTGCCAGATCATTTACTACTGGCTGGCTGGACTGCCTTCTGTGTATCTAGTCACCTGTTGACAGATGTTTGGCTTGCTTCCAATATGTGACTATGAATGAAGCTGCTATGAACAATCTTTTTATGGATTTAAGTTTTCACTTCTCTTGGGCAAATACCTGGGAGTGGGTCAGATAGGAGGTGAGGATTAACTTTATAAGAAATTGCCAAACGGTTTTCCAAAGTGGTTGCATCATTTCTGTACAGCCAGTGTTCAGCAATGTCTCGAGCCTGCAGTAGCTGGGATGGGGGGTATTTTTTTTTAAGATTTATTTATTTGATTTTTGGTTGTGCTGGGTCTTCATTGCTGCACACAGGCTTCTCTAGTTGAGCAAGCAGGGGCTATTCTTCATTGAGGTGCTTGGGCTTCTCATCGCAGAGACTTCTTGTTGCAGAGCACAGGCTCCAGGGTGTGTGGGCTTCAGTGCTTGTGGCTCCCAGGCTCTAGAGCAGAGGCTCATAGTTGTGGCACGCAGGGGTTTAGTTGCCTCGCAGCATGTGGGGGATCTTCTTGAGCCAGGCATCAAACCCGTGTCCCCTGAACTTTGCAGGCAATTTCTTAACCACTGGACCACCAGGGAAGTCTGAGGGTATTTTTGACCCAACAGAGTCTTCAGCAGTTCCAGAATCAGGTGGAGGGGCTTATCTAGAGAAAAGCAGGAGGGCCGGAAGTGAGGCTGGAAACTGAAGCTGATATTGTGGGAAGGCAGGAAGCACGGGTTTACACGTGCCTGATAACACGTGTTTTCACAGGAAGATGAGACTGGGGGGCTGGGAAGCAGGCAGTGGCGGAGGGGGTCTCTGCTATTTGGAATGGCACTCACCCACTCACTCAGAGACAGATAAAGGGTGGTTGACTGTACCACAAAGGGAGGGCTTCTGGGGATGACAATAGATGGCGCTTCAGCAGACCAAGGAGGAGGTTGGCCCCAGAGAGAAGCTGGAGAGAGGAGAGATGATGGAAGAGCAAGTCTGTGGACAAGGAGCAATTTCATTCATTCATTTAATGCAATCATTTTCTCACCCGAAACACTCCTTGTGCACTTATAATACATCAGGCACTGGAGTTAGAGTGGAAAACAGGAGGTCAGCAGCAAGGGACATGAAGGAATTAAAAAAATCTCAGGCTGAGCAGAAGCAGCCACCCACAAAATATCAATAGTATAGACTCCATGAATCCATTTATATGAAGCTTTAGAATAGGCAGATAATCAAGCAAATAGAGACAATGTTGATTGTAGAATCTAAGGATGGGTTTTCATTCTAAAACTCAAGCTTTCTGTATGCTTGGAAATTGTCATAATGAAATGTTGGGGTTCAGGCTGTGGCTGCTGCCTTCCTGGGGCTCACAGTCTGGCCAGGAGAGGAGGAGATGGTGAGGCACGATAGAAGGTGGTGAGTCCACATGGGGAGATTGGAGGTGGAACATTCTGGAAACACAGTCCCTAACTCCTTGCCCTTCTAGCCTAAGGATGAGGTAGGGCTTGTGCTGGGAAGCAGGGGGTTCAGGGCAGAAGAGAACCCTTGTGACCACCTTCTTATCCTTTCCTAGTAGGTGTCCCCACCAACAACCCCTGTGCACCCACACGACCTCACTCTCCAGGGCCGAGTCAGCAAGTCAGAGGTGACCTTGGAGCCCAGCCAGAGTTTCCTTCATGGAACAGCCCTACCCATCACCCCTCTTTCCAAGGAAGTGACCTTGGGACAGAATAGCCTGTCCTTTCCAATCTCACTCCCTGAAATTCCAGGAAACCCCCAGGAATCCCTGGGGCATCTTACCAGATTGGCTGGGGTGTCTGAGGAAGCCCCCAGGCTAGGACAGAACACATGCTCCTCTGGCCCCCTTGGAAGCCCCTTCCCCATCCACCTCACCTTGCCCCCCGCCCACCTCTTGCCTCTCCTATGGCCCCACACCCACTCACAGATGGCTCAAATGGATGGATTTCCCAGACAGAGGCAGAAAGGCCACACTGCTTGCCTCTCACTCACAGGGTGAGCCTAGGCACATGACACTGCCTCTCTGAGCCTCAGTTTTTGCATCTGTCAAGT